ATCCGATGGTACCTCTCTTGATTCTGACCAAATCCTTTCACAACTAGTCTTGCCTTAAACTTGGCTTATGAGATATTACATTCAGTCTTTGATCTATAAATCCACTTGTTTTTTAGCGCATTTTTACTCCCAGGCGAATGTACTAAATCATAAATATGGTTCTCATGCAAGGATTGTAACTCCTTTTGCACGGATTTACATCCCTTTTTCTTATGCTCATCTAGAATAGCCTCTTGGTAAATTTTTGGTTCATCCATTTCCATCTGCATCACATATGCATCACAAGAGTATCTTTTAGAGACTTTACATTCTATGGTAGACTTCTCAAATGAACGCTTTCTAGTGGTATATGTCCAGCTTGCTCTTGTGCCTCCTCCTCATCACCTACATCAACATGATTTTTTTTCTACATCTCCCTCATGAGTCATGAGCATCATGTACTATGGGTGGAGGAACTGGATCCAGTTTGATAAGAGAACTGACATAGGATTTATTTTTCTTTATCTTCTCCATATCTTCAATAGTTTGATCTTCAAGAAACATAAATTCCTTACTTTTGACAACTTTCTTATCCATAGGACCCCATAATTTGTATTTGAATTCATCATAAGCATAGCCAAAGAAGATGCAATGCTTGGCTTTATCATCAAGCTTTGACTTTTCTTGTTTAGGAATATGTATGAATGCCCAGAAACCAAAAACCTTTTCAATACAGGAGTCTTCAGTTGTATTTTTCTGCCTTTTCAACAATTTAGCTTACACAATATAGCAAGTGTTCAATTTTCTCCCTCTAGCCTGTACCAATACACCTTTGGTGAGCTTCCATTATCCTCCACCAAAGTTGCTATAGTGGAAGATAGAGATCAAAATCCCGACATCTTTGAGTACCACTATGCAACCTAGGTTGGTTTCTAAAGAAACATCTCGCATACCCATGATTATGAATGCACCATCATTCCCAAGTCTTACATAGCCAAAAAAACATCGCCACTGTAGGACGTGAAAAAATCACTCTATGATTTACCATGGAAAAAGGCACCTAAGTTAATCATCCAATTGTTATCTTGATTTACAAGGTTGACACAAACATCATCACATATAATCATAGCATTCCCATCATTTGTTTCAATGGTTAGACACAAAATTAGAAACCATATGATTACGCGCGTGACTAAAAATGTCATGATTTTCTGATGGACGTTTAGAGTTGGACCATAGAAATACAAATTTAAAATCAAATAGATACAATTGAAAGATTAGAGACCAAATAGACACTAATGCATACTTTGGAGACTAAAAATATATTTTATCCTAAAAATTAATATTTTATAAAAATTGAATAAGTTGTGGCTAGTTATTGAGAGCATTTGTCGTCGATTATGTAAGATGATTTGTAAGGGAGTTTGTGGGTGGCTATTTGAGACATTTTATATGAAATAATTTGATGAAATGTATATATTCTATATATAATTCAATGAAATATATATATTTTTTGTTCAATAAATTAAAAATCTCTAAATTTAAGAAATAGTGAGGAAAAGCTTCTTAAACCACCCTCAAATTTGATTGCAAGTATAAATGCAAAATTGAAAAAAAAAAACAACACTCATTCTGCGTGGTTAGTAGTAAAAATAAGTTAATATTAGGGTGTGTTATACAATATTTGAAATTACAAGGTTGTCCCTTCAAATTGGTAGACACAATGAGGGGTTTCATTGTAAGTTACTCAAAACCGAAAATTGGAAAGGGCCAAAAAAAAATTAAATAGGAACTTTGGAATCCAGTACTTTTTTCAACTCTTATTTGAGAGAAAGTTCACTTTCAAAAATTTTTGGTATAAAATTACTCTTTTTTTCATAAAAGTCTAAAGTACCCCTCTACCTGTCCCTCAAAACATGGAAGCCGATTACTACTCTAAAACGTGTATATATATATGTGTATATATATATATATATATATAAGTGTTAAATTTCTTAATTTGAAATCTTTCTCAAATTAAGATTATTTCTCTCTAAAATTCTTAAATTTTAGAATTTTATTATATTATAACTATTTCTCTCAAAATTCCTTAATTTTAGATTCTTTCTAAGATAAGAACTCTTTTGGTCTCTCTCTCTCTCTATATATATATATATATATATAATTCTTATATTAGAACTATTTGTCATAATTTTTAATATATTGTCACATTATTTTATAGTAACTGTTCACATTGTTTAATATGTTATTACATTATTTTTGAGTATCTTTTCACATTTTTTTAATATGCTGTCATATTATTTTTGAATAACTTGTCACATTATTTAATATGTTGTTATATTATTTTTGAGTACCTTATCTCATTGATTTTGATGTTGTTACATTGTTTTAAAAAAGAATTCAATTTATGTAAAAACAAAAAGAGAAGATGAAAAAGAGAAGGCAAAACTAACGCGTCCAATTGAGCAATTTCTGTCGGTTTAGAAGAAAAGACGAAACTCTAAAATAGTGAAGAGGAAGCCAAAATCTCGCTGCACAAAAAAAAATACTATATTCTATGTAAAACGAACAAAAGTCCACCAAATAAAAATTTACTGCAATGCAAAACTCCCAATAAAAACAAGAATAAAAAATGTTTCTACAAAAGATAATAGAATATCACCGAACAAAAATATAAAACAATCAAAAAATAAAAGGTAACAGCCGAAAATCTAAAAAAGCTTTCTCNGCCGAACAAAAATATAAAACAATCAAAAAATAAAAGGTAACAGCCGAAAATCTCAAAAAGCTTTCCCCAAGAAAATTGTGATGTAGAAGAAAGACCAACTCTTGTTTTAAAAGGATATGCCAAATGAATTAAGATGAGTTTTTTAAAAATTTAAACGATTGAATATATTACAATAATAATACAAAGTAATTTCTTCAAATATTTTCATCTTGGATAAAACGAAATTATCAATCAATTATACATGAATCATAAGCTCGTCATTCATCGGACCAAAACCGTATAGGGCCAAAAAAAAATTAGGGAGAAATACACCGAGGTCTCTTGAGATTTGTCACTTAATTACTGATATGACCCCTTAAAGTTTGTACGTGAGTAATACTTAAACCTTTGTTTTAAATATATCAGTTAATTAATTATACTTAGGCACCCTAAAATTTGTAAATATATAATACTTAGACCTTTAAGTTTAAAATATTATAGTTAAACCAAAAATCCNAGGCACCCTAAAATTTGTAAATATATAATACTTAGACCCTTTAAGTTTAAAATATTAAAGTTAAACCAAAAATTCTCCAATCAAATATAGAATATCAAATATTTTAAATTTTACAAACAAAATTCATATTCTATTGTATCATTTATTGAAATAAAATTAAAAATAAAAAATTTAATTTTTTCTTAAAAAATCGTAATTACTATATAGTTATATCATCTATTGAAATAAAACAAAAAAAAATCAAACAAGTGATCTAAGTCATTCATAATAGAACATGAATTTTACATCTAAAATTCATGCTATATTATGTCATTTATTGAAATAAAATCAAAAATAAAAGTTTAATTTAAAAAAAAAAAATCATAGTTAGTATATAATTATACTATCTATTAGAATAAAACTAAAAAAATTAAACAAGTGGTTAAACTATAATGGACACAATATCTTTTAACTTTAATTGAGGTAATTTAGTATTTTAATTTGGTTATTTAAGCGACCAAATTAAATTCAAATAGATAATATAATTGTATACTAATTAAAATTTTTTAAGAAAAAAAATTAAATTTTATTTTTGATTTTATTTCAATAAATGATACAATAAAATATGAATTTTTGTTGTAAAATTTAAAATATTTGATATTTTATCTTTGATTACAATATTTTTTGTCTTAGTATAATTTTTTAAATTTAAAGGATCTAAGTATTATATACCTACAAACTTTATGGGGGTTTATATATAATTTGTTAACCGATATATTTAAAGCAGGTTATGCGCATACAAATTTTAGGGGGTTTGTGTATAATATTTTAAATATTAAGAGATCTGAGTGATTAAATGATAAATTTCAGAGGACCTAAATGTAATTCTCCCCAAAAAAAAAACAAAATGGGTATGGGTAGGGTTCGAATTANAAAAAAATCATAGTTAGTATATAATTATACTATCTATTAGAATAAAACTAAAAAAATTAAACAAGTGGTTAAACTATAATGGACACAATATCTTTTAACTTTAATTGAGGTAATTTAGTATTTTAATTTGGTTGATTAAGCGATCAAATTAAATTCCAATAGATAATATAATTGTATACTAATTAAGATTTTTTAAGAAAAAAATTAAATTTTTATTTTTGATTTTATTTCAATAAATGATACAATAAAATATGAATTTTTGTTGTAAAATTTAAAATATTTGATATTTTATTTTTGATTGTAATATTTTTTGTCTTAGTATAATTTTTAAAATTTAAAGGATCTAAGTATTATATATCTACAAACTTTATGGGGGTTTATATATAATTTGTTAACCGATATATTTAAAGCAGGTTATGCGCATACAAATTTTAGAGGGTTTGTGTGTAATATTTTAAATATTAGGAAATCTGAGTGATTAAATGATAAATTTCAGAGGACTTAAATGTAATTCCCCCAAAAAAAAAACAAAATGGGTATGGGTAGGGTTCGAATTAAAAGCTCATCTTTCATTAACCACAAAGATTCGAGCTTACACAGAACAGGGGTTTTGCTGGAGGTTTTCGGAGAGAGAGCCACCACAATAGGATTTCTCAACCAAAACATGAGATCGTGACGGCTATTGGGGGTGGACTAGCAGACAAGTGTTCTTTGAGTGAAAAAGACATTCATAGAATTACTTTCAGAAAGACTGGATTTCTCAGTTGAGTTTTGTTCAAATCCAACTTATCCTATATTCAGAAACATAAAGAACCATTACAGTAGCCGAGGATTGTACCGTACTGCCTGTAACGGTAGAGGAGAGAGTGAGAAAGAGAAGTGAAAATGGTAATGAAGAAGGGAGGGAATAGAGGAGGAGCGACGTCGGAAGAAGCAGAGGAGGATCTGGCTCGTGTACCCTTACAGGCCATCCTTTTGGCCGATAGCTTTGCCACTAAGTTCCGACCCATCACTCTTGAATGCCCCAAAGTATTTCTCTGTCCTGTATTTCACTCTCTATATACAATTGTGTATGTTTGCCTATCACTATCTGTGTGTGTGCATTTCTGTGTAGTTTTTTTTCATAAAAATTGTTTAGTTTTTGTTTTGTTTNTTCACTCTCTATATACAATTGTGTATGTTTTCCTATCACTATCTGTGTGTGTGCATTTCTGTGTAGTTTTTTTTCATAAAAATTGTTTATTTTTTGTTTTGTTTTTTTTTACTTATGTGTATTGGAAATTGTGTTAAGTTTGGGGGGTCTGATGAAGATTAGCTGTAGGGCAATTGCAGGTACTTTAATGTTCAGATCAGGAAGACAATCCAAAAAAGTTGTGAATATGTAAATCGATATTGATTGCATACAGACATAGCACAATCAAAAGCATTAGACATGCAATTACAGACAAATTGCAACTTATTATCAAAAGGACACTATTGATGCAAGAGAACAAGCTAAACAAGAAAAAAAACTCATGAATGCAAGAGTCGAGAGTTGTTTGAAAAAACCATGGGTACAGTAGTCCATTGCCTCTTATTCTCTCTCGATTCTCCCTAACTTTGTCAGCCCCTCATTGATTTTGTTGGGTAAGAATAATATCATAAATTAAGAATTTGGCAGACTTTTTTAAGTCCCAAGTGTTTCTCATTTTATTTTATAAACCTTTTCTTTTGTACATTTACCAAAACAATCCGGTTTTGTTTTCCACAATCGTCCTATTTTTTATACAATTACAAAATAAAATGACCCCCGAAGTGTCTAAAAATTAGCCAAAGTTTTTGAAGTGGGTCCATAAGGTGTTTATTGTTATTGTGTATGGGTCTGTACAAAAGTGAAGGATGGACATAGTAAAATATATTAGAGAAATATTTAATGTATTTATACATATATTCAAAACTATGGATAAATATCAACTTCTGAAATAAAACTATATATGAAGATGGTTTTTAGAAAATTTTGAGGGTGGGCCATGGACCCCTTGGCCCCAATGTTTCTCTGCCATTTGGCCAATGGCTTTCAAGATCTGTGAAAGGAAATAAGTGCTAAATTTTCTGTGTCAGATTTTTTGTCAAAGCAGAACAAAGTTGTCATTACATTTGAGCTTTGTTTTTTTTTTTTTTGGTGACTTTTTATGCAAACACCCTTCCACTCTATCTTTAACATTTCGATCTAGAGAAATAGGCTTCAATGTTTTGTCTTTTTGTTTCTCTGAGCATGCTCGAAATTCCTCATCAACACTTGCATTTGAGGGTCTATACTTGTCAATTTGTTTATATTTTTTGAGCCAACAATAGAATTGTTGATCTTTCTTATGATGCCAATGGTTGCTTAGATTGCACTGTTTTGTTGTTGAAGGTACTCTTACCATTAGTCAATGTCCCTATGATTGATTACACCTTAGCATGGCTTGAGTCTGCTGGGGTTGAAGAAGTATTTGTTTTTTGCTGTGCTCATTCCAAGCAAGTGATCGATTATTTGGATACTTCCAAGTGGGTTGGCCAACCAAACTTTTCAGTCACGACCATAGAATCACACAATTCTGTTAGTGCTGGGGATGCTTTGCGTTTGATATATGAGAAACATGTGGTATGTTAAGCTCTCTCCTTGTAAGCCTTTTTTTCTCCATATATTTTTTTTTTTTTGTAATTGTACTTCATTTATACCTCATATATTGGGTCTTTATGGGAAGATAAGATATTTTATTGGAATTTTATGTGACAAATAAGCTCAGGTACTGCTTGACATTGCTCGTGCCCCCTTGATGCTCTACAATGATTTTACATTATGGAAAAGTTTTATGTTTGTAAAAACTTCCTCGTCTGCCTCAGGCATATGATGGTTATATTTCTTTTCATAAACAAATGAAACAAAATAGAGGAGGTAGTGGAAACCTATCTGGCCCATCTGGTGCTTTTAGTGACTGAACAACATTGCAAAATGGTTATCTTAATGGTTTCAACATAATTACATAGTAATAAGCATGCCACTCTAAGAAAGCACAGAATTGGAATATGTCAATTCACCATGTGATATTGTATCAAGTGGTGGTTGTAGTATATGGAAGCCATTCATGTTTTCTTCCTCTGCCTCTTTTTTTTCGTTCTTTTCTTTGCCTGTGAGCAAGATGATTAAAAGGTGTCATTGAGCCCCCCTTGTTCTTTGTGAATGTCCCTCTCTTTCTTTAGCTTTATTTGAAAATGATAAAGAATTTATAAATAACAGTTTGTTTTATTCATCTGCGCTGAGAGCTAGAATATGCAAAGATCTTTGTAATCTTAAGAATCACAAGATTGGAAATCGAGTTTTCTCCAACAAGGGGGGCATCAATGCACCCCTAATGCCTTAGGCATGTGATTGTGGGAAACTCTACTTTGTCAATATAGTTCTGCTGTTTCATTTAACCAGCTAGAAAATGATAGGGAAGCAAAATATAAAAAAAAAGGGAAAGAAATGATAGGGCAGCACACATAAGTTGTGGTTATTTGAATCTATCGGGAGTTTGGCCTTGATAGTCTGCTCCAAAAGCCACAAAAAATGGCAGCAGCGAGGGAGATATTTAAAGATAATGTAAAATAATGGGGATAAGATTATGGTACAGAAGGAAGCACCATAGCAAAAGTTAGAAGTAAATACGCACCAGTTACAACACATTTCTGATCAAGTTAAGTTATGACTGAAAAAAAGTTGATATGGATCCTAATAGGATTGATCTCAAGCAATCCCATATTGTTGTAACTTCACTGGATTTTGCATGACCTTACCTTTTTTTGTAATTCCTTTGGTATAGCATGGAAAAGTAACTCTTGGGCACTATAGTCCTTACCCAATTCAGTCAAGTTTGAAGGAGCTTTTAGTGTCTTATTGCTCTGCCCTTTTTTCTTCTGTACTTCATGATTCTATCTGTTATCTATGTCCAAGAGGTGAAGCAGTCTGCTAATTTGTCCTGACTCTCTTTCCCCATTTTCTTCTTGCTAGCGACAGGCTTGGAAGATATTCCGTTGCCCCTCATTATGTCTTCAGTCTTCTCATCATTGTCTCTTCAGTCTTCTCTTCACTCCACTGCATTATCACCATGTGTAGGAAAAATAAAAGGGNGCCTAAACTTCAGTTCATCAAAATCCTAGTCGATCATAAACCCATATCTACTCATTTAAATCACAAACCCCAACAATTTTAACCCTAGCCCACTAGATCTGATTGGAGGACGGCCTTGATTACCTGGATTGAGGGTCTTGTGTTGCATCAGATGTTCTTGTCATATCTATGGTTTGTTGCTTTCATATGCAATAATTAGTGTTCTGTATGCTTTCTGAATGCATTTGGTGAGTGAGTAAACAAATCAATTTCTTTTCGTCCAGCATTGTGATCTTATTTTCTGGCATAAGGAGTTCCATGCAGCTTATCTCTTGAATGTTTTGGTTAAATGTCTCTATTTCTAAACATATAGTATGTGTGTAGTGGAGAATCTGTTTGTAAATGGTTAGTAGGGCTATAACTTGAATGAGTTGGTCGAATGGAGATCAAAACCATACTCAAACCTACGGAAAAAAAATGCTCTGCATGTGGCTTAACTCACTCTGATCTCTTAGCAAATATAGTTCTTTCTCTTACTTGTATAGTTGGATTTGCAGAATATTTCCTAGTTGACTAGAGCATCAAAGAGAGAAAAGCCTCTTGCCATAACCAGTTGTTGCTTTTCACGGATTATGTTGGCGGGGGATTAGATGTAGATATGATGTCATTTGGTTTTCCATGGGTGTGACTTTTTACTTCGGTTCCATTTTCGTTTACCTAGAATTCAGTGGTATCTGTCTAGATTTATTTTGTTAAAAAGTTCTTACCATATTCTAGGGCCAATGCCATCGTCTTTGTTCTCAAGGAGCTCGTCCTGGGGTGTGGAAATTAGGATTATTGTCTTAGCTCGATTGGTTGCCTTACAGAATCATTGCTAGTAGCCTACTAGAGAGTTAGTCCTTACTTTTTACTCGAGACTTATGTCATCTTTTGTTTTATGCTTTTTTATTGTTTTCTTTCTCTTTCTCATCATTTATTTTGATGAAGGCCAAGTAGCAAGTGGTTTCATTTTAGGAAACAAGCACTTCGCAAATCGCAACTAAGTCATTGATAATGTTCTCTGCAGGATTGTTATATTGACATCTGCACTCCAGAAGTCCTCAGTCTTTTCACCGACAATTTTGACTATCAACATCTACGCCGCCATTTTGTCAAGGGATTGCTTGTTGATGATGTACGTGGATCGTTATCTATCTCTTAAATTACATTCAGAAACTGGTTTTTTTCCAACCAAACCTCGTTCTTAGTAAAGGGTCATGAATCTTGTGTATATACATCATTGTGTGCATAAGCATTTGGATATATGCATATTTTCACCTGTGAGTATATGTATGTAAACACATATATTTGAGTTTGATGTTAGCACACTCTCATAGTTACAGTTTTTCAGAATGCATTGACATGCAAATTGAAAAAATAATTTATTGGCATGCAACTACATGAATTAACACCTGAACTTTATTTTGTGACTTTAACTCTCAAATGGTAGATTATGCTGTAAAATCTCTTCTCTCGATGGGTTGGCGTGCCTATGAATTACACTTGTTACTTTGAGATAATTCTATTTTCATTAGTCTCAACTCTCAGCTTTTATTCAATTCTTGGATGCAGCAAAGTTTTCTTCCACTTCTTTTTTTCATTTATTTTTTCTTACCACTATTTGAAAATTCTTGTTTGGTTGATTTTGATTACATATATGCATCATATATTCCAAGCCTATTCTTGACCTCATTGTTTGAATACAAAATTGTCTCATAAATACATAAATACTTTTCATTATGTGTCTAATCTCTTCATATCTCAATGGTGCCATCGAGTAACTTATAATTTTTGTGGCAGTAGGAATGGCATTAGGGAATTGAAAAATCTTCATATGCATATTAATTAATGATAATGGTGGATCATAGTCAAGCGAAACTAAGGCCATACTAATATTGCTTTCTCATGAAGATATTGAGTTGAGATGTGACAAGGCTTAGGTCTCCTAGGAAGAAAAGTGGAGTCATGGAAATTTTGGCAAGAACAAGTTTTAAGATTTCCTACTTTCGGAGATTTCAAGTCTGAAAGTTGACAGAAATTTAATTAATTGCGTTGGGATAGATAGGCATAAGGAATGAGATATTTTACCTTCTTATGGGATGATTGGAGTTTTAATAAAATAAGATGAAAGAGTGGTGAGAGGTTTGGTGGTGGTAGTGGGAATTTTTTATGTTTTGGTTAGATTCAAGAATTTGTACATTGTCACTTATTAGGGATCTACAACCCAAATAGGCTAAGAGTTGGAAGGTTCTTGGCGGAATTTATTTGGATTTTGTAGTCCTAATTGGTTTATAAGAAGTTATTTTAATGTGCAGGAGTAGGATTACAAGGGGCACAATAGATTTTCAATTGTTTTTATTAGGATGCAAATTAATTGACCCACCATTGTCAAAATCAAGATTTGTGTGGTCTAATCTTGAGGAGAATTTGGTGTGTGATTCGTTGATGTGGTGTTTATTTTCTCATGTGGTAGGAGGATTTTTTTCTAAACAAGCAGCAAGAGGCGCTCTTGAATTGCCCAATTGTGTTAGAAAATTGTCTGTTCAAAGGGTATTCTATCCCTTTGAGGTTTGAACATATATGGTTTGAACATAGTTAATGTTTGTGCGGGTGGTGGGAAGGTTTAGGATTCAAGGTTGGTAAGGATTTAAATTCATGAAAAAAAAATCAATATGATTAAAGATAAAAATAGTGTTTGGAAGACACTAATGTTAAAAATATCTTCTTATCTTGCGAAGAATTGGTGAATTGGATACATTCAAGATGGAGGGAGGTATGAGCGCTTTGCTTGGAAGGGAGATGATTGATTTTAAAAGTAAATATGAGGAGGTGGTTGGCGGAGATGAGATGTCTTGAAAAATAAAAATAAAAAAGTTAATGGCTAAAAGAAAGGGATAGTAAACATAATACAAATGGGTGCTCCAAAAACAATTTTTGTATGGTTGATAGCATATAAGAAACTTAATTCAAATGAGGTGCTCCAAAAAAAAAGGCCATCACAACCTCAATGGTGCATTCTTTGTGGAAAAAAAAAGCGTCATCTTAGGGTCATTTGTTTCTTCTTTGCTCTTTCATCTCAAATTTTTGGAATAGACTTTTGGATATTGGTGGGATCCCTTGGGGTGATCCCAAGATGTTGTGCCTTGGTGTTTACCATGAATTATGATGGCTTTGGTTCAAGACTAAAAGCAAAGATTTTATGGAAATTTGTGGTGTTAGCTTTGTTTTGTGTGGTGTTGTTAGAAATGGCCCGATTTTTTAGGACAAGAGGGTTCCTTGGGAAGGATTATGGTTTAGATCTTCAGTCGACTCCCTCCCCAAGCCTATGCACTTGCCTTTAGGGATCGAAGTGGGAGACAAGATATCTGTTATGGCATTTCTTTGGGTGTCCATGGCGAAGGAATTTGACAGGATTCCATTATTTTCAATTAAAAATCAATGGCCTCAAGTGTGGGAATATTGCTGCCACAAGACATCTTTTTTCAACCATTTTTTTTTCCTCTTTTTTTTGTGATTTTGTGATCTTTGAGGATTCCTTGTCCTCGTATGTACTCTTTTTTATGAGTTTAATAATACTCGCATTTCTTATTAGAAAAAAAGAAGNCAAGTGTGGGAATATTGCTGCCACAAGACATCTTTTTTCAACCATTTTTTTTTCCTTTTTTTATGTGATTTTGTGATCTTTGAGGATTCCTTGTCCTCGTATGTACTCTTTTTAATGAGTTTAATAATACTCGCATTTCTTATTAGAAAAAAGGAGAATAATAATTCTAAAATGTTCCATATAGTTGCAAATTGGAAAAGGGAAAAAAAGGATTGAGATTGGTGATGGATGGTTTGTGGAGGAAGACTGAATTGTTAGTGAGATCTTCAATGACTTTGCTAGTATGTTATTCATGGAATAAATAGTATGTGTAGACATGGAATTGGGGGCTAGGATGGGGCTTGACAATTTTTCTATCGTAGGATTGCTATGCGGTGATAAAAGTAGATTTGATCAATGTGTTTCNTATGTTATTCATGGAATAAATAGTATGTGTAGACATGGAATTGGGGGCTAGGATGGAGTCCAATTGTTTCAAGCAACGCTAGATAGGATGATGGGTTGAGTGACCTTTTGAAATTGAGGAAATTAAATCATAGGTCTTTGAATGTAGTCATGATAAATCTTCGGGGCTTGACAATTTTTCTATCGTAGGATTGCTATGCGGTGATAAAAGTAGATTTGATCAATGTGTTTGCATAATTTTTTGAAAAGGGATTGTTAATACGATTACTAATGTTGCCTTCATTTGTCTTATTCATAGAAAAAGAAAATTCTTTGAATTTCAGTTATTTCAGGCTGATTAGTTTGGTTACTCATGGTTGGGACTCTAAAGTGAGGGTGCTCTCGTTGACCTTGAAAATTCATTTCACAAGGTTTATCCTATTTTACCAAATTGGTCAAGTATCTGGTTAATGGGGGAGGATTCCTTTTGGGGGGCGGGGGGTGTCATCTAACCTGTTGCAACATTATTCCCCCATTTATATCGTTTGTCTTGAAATTAAGTCAACTATTGCTTGTATGATCTCATCTTCTTCATCCTGATGTGCTGGAGCTTGGAACTTTGATTTCTTTAGGAATTTAAATGATAGAGAAGTTGTTGACATGACTTATCTTTTGGGTACTCTTGATAATCTTATGTTGAAACATTCTTCTTTGGATCGAAGAATTTGGACCGTTTCTTCAATGGGGGAGCTTTCTTGTAAGTCTTTGTTGGATTTCCTTATTGATAAACCCATTTTCTCAATATTCTAATTTTCAAATATGATATGGAAGTCTAATGCCCCTTTGAAGGTTCAAAAGGTTCAAGTATTTGCATGGTTACTTGCACATAAGAAATTCAATGCCAATGACGTGCTCCAAAAAGGGACACCATCCCATTGTGTTTGCCTGGAATGGTTTCTTTGCAAGAGTGGGGAGCAATCTGTGGACCGTCTATTTTTACATTGTCCATTTGTTACGAAATTATGGAACATGCTCTTGGCTACAATTGGGATCCCTTGGGTGACTCCTGANTATTTGCATGGTTACTTGCACATAAGAAATTCAATGCCAATGACGTGCTCCAAAAAAGGACACCATCCCATTGTGTTTGCCTGGAATGGTTTCTTTGCAAGAGTGGGGAGCAATCTGTGGACCGTCTATTTTTACAGTGTCCATTTGTTACTAAATTATGGAACATGCTCTTGGCTACAATTGGGATCCCTTGGGTGACTCCTGAAAATTGTGAAATAATTTTTGTTGTTGATTTTGTGGGATTTGAACCGGTTAACAAAGCTAGGAGCCTAAGACTTTATGGTGATACATAGTTCTGACATTGGTTTGGATTGTTCGGTTGGAAAGAAATGTGAGGATTTTTGATGAAAGGGTGACTCCTTGGGAAGTTAGTAGAATAAAAATTTNTCTGACATTGGTTTGGATTGTTCGGTTGGAAAGAAATGTGAGGATTTTTGATGAAATGGTGACTCCTTGGGAAGTTAGTAGAATAAAAAAATTTTCATGATATTTCTTTGGGTTTCCACAACAAAAGAATTTGAAGGAATTTTGCTTTTTTTGATCAATGATTATTGGGTTCAAGTGCATTGGAAGGAAGGTTTATGGGATCACATTTATTTTTTGGCATTGTTGTGGGCTTCAGTTTCGAAAGAGGTTGATGGCATTCCGGTTTTTGGTAGCCTGGCAGATTAGAGGGCTTCATGTGATACATAATTTTTATGAGCGGATATATTTTTATAGATGGATATCTTGTCCATCTATATTATTCCTTGATGTATTTTTTGTCATTATTAAATTAATAATTTTCTTCTTTCTCATGAAAAAAAAAGGTTTATATTTGGCCTGATATTAGTTTCACAATTTTATTTTCAAATTTTCTTTCACATTACTTCTTAGAGGACTCTTTTTCCTCTCATACATTCTTCCACTTTTTGTCACTGATAATATTTCTAGTTTCCTATCAANAGAGGTTGATGGCATTCCGCTTTTTGGTAGCCTGGCAGATTAGAGGGCTTCATGTGATACATAATTTTTATGAGCGGATATATTTTTATAGATGGATATCTTGTCCATCTATATTATTCCTTGATGTATTTTTTGTCATTCTTAAATTAATAATTTTC